TATAAGTTTTCATTCACATGCAAATTAAACTCATTTTCACAAGAATGGTTGAGCACCGGGCCTCGTTTTGAAAAAGAGGCCAAGAGTAATTCGGAAATGGGCTATTTTCCTACCCTTGAGGGTGATAACTTTGAGTTCTCACCTTCTCTGAGGCATATGGCAGCAACGATCTCTTTCTATTCAGCCCTGTTTAGAGCGAGTTTTAAATTGTAATCATATCCAATTTGTTTCTTCCTTGACCAGTGTTTGACATTAGAGTCACCCCAACTATGGACGCCGTGGTATAGTATTTAGTTAATCTCATTATGGTTTCAATTTATCGCTTGTAGACTGTGTTATTGTGATTAAATTGATACATTTTCATCTGTCTTTTAGGAACTCGAGAACAAAATAAAGCTGTGGTGTGATGAAGCTGGAGAAGAAGTGTCTTATGAATTTTTACAGGTGCAAGGCTGAAAGGATATAACAGAGTCATTGGTCACTTCCCTTCAGTAGGGGTGGGGTGGTATGGGTCCATACTTGGCTAATAACTTACACGCATTTGGTGATGAACAGTAACTTTTTCTCGGTGCCAAAGATATGCAATGGAAGAACTCCTCCCCTCTCTTCTAGTTGCGTCCTTATTTTACCGTCGAAGAAGCGTAATATTATTTAGTACTCAATCCAACATTTGTACAATGAAATGTTACTGTTCTTCCGTCTTTCAGAGAGGAAATAGTTGCCAATTAACACCGACTACTGTGGATGACCCATGGTGGAAAGCCTTCAGTACCACTTGCAAGAAAATGTTAGTTTTCAACCACGCTTTACGGCGTTTTGTTGAAGAACTGATAAACGTTACGATCTTTAAATTTGCAGAGGCAAATTGAAGAAAAGGAACGAAAAAATTCGCTACAAGTTAGGAGAGTATGATATTAGAAATACATTCGCTTTCATGGGCTCGTTTTGCGCCCCACTCTCGAGTCCGGTCTTTTTCGTTCCTACCCAAGAAGAAGGAGTGCGGGCTCTGATTCTCGAACAGCGGCTGATAATCGAGCCTATCGCCCTCAGTGTTATACTTCCTGGCCTTTTCGTGACTCCTCTGGGCTTCAGACCAACTGGTCCGGCTTCGACTGGTCCATGCCCGGGTTATTGTAATGTGTTCTTGGGCGAGACTCTTTATCTTCACTGTGTATCTCTCTACCCGAGATTATTTAGAGTCACCAACAAATTGTCAGGAAAACATGACCAAATGCTATCGGTGGAAGTGGGGGGAAGGGGAGTGGGAAACCGTAGCGTAGACAGCAGCCAGTCCAGAGAGGAATAGCGTCATTCTTAGTCACATCACGCATAAAACTAGAACTGGGATAAACAAGTAGGCTGTGCTTCAATTCTCATAGGCTTACTTACCTTTCGCCTCTTTTTCAGTAGCACCACTGTGAGGTGCTATCGCTGGGTGCAAACTTTCGCCCTGCAGTAGAATGCAATTATTCTCTTAATTATTTCAATTTATTTAGTTATTTTCTTTCTCAGGAACATGAAAATAGAGAAAGAGATTTTTCCTGCTGGAACAGATAGCCGCTTTTTACGAGAGGTACAGTTCTTAAACCAGCAAGGAAAACTTTAGAATAACGTTTATCCACTCTTATGGACTTACTGCGAAAGTTAAACACCAAACTTTGATAAAAAGGAAATGAAGCTCTTGATTGTCAAAAAATTGTCCTCGTCAGCACCCTAGGAAATGTATAGTGAGCCGTATGGGGAAAAGGCAGACTGACGTTGAGATGTAAAGTATTAATTTCTTCATCGTCATCATTGACATCGACAGTCACTCCCGCTGACTCTGACTTCTACATTGACAGTGACGCTGAGTGAAAATGACTTTGACCGTTTTGACATGACATCGACTTTCGTATTGACTCATGTTGAAACATTTAAAGTGACACTATATTATACTTCAGTTGCCATGGGTAATAACATGTTTTTAGATCTTGTTTGCTCACTGATTTTATTCTTCTTCCCTACAGTTGGGTCTTCCCGCCATCGGTTTCTCACCGATGAACAACACACCGATTCTTCTTCATGACCATGACGAATTCCTCAACGAGAAAGTTTTCCTGCACGGAATAGAAATCTATTGCGAGTTGTTAACAGCTTTGACAAATGTGCAGCCATTTTGAACGAGAAGAGTACAAAATAAAGATAAAGATATGATATCGCGGCGATTCGTGTGAAAGGAAAGAAAACCTGCATATCGGAAAAACTACAATAGAAATCTACATACATATCATGAATTAAAAAGTGTGTCATTACAATATCAACCTATTTACAAAGGTGTTCATAAAGCGCTGTGTTTTAATTTCGGGCGTGCGCAGCCTTTTTTTCCTTAGATTGTGTACATATGTCTTCTGGACAGGAATGATGTCTTTCAGGGGGTGGCAATCCGTTGATTTTAATTTCTTCAAAATGTTTCGGTCTTGTTTGTTTCAAAGGTTCTTGATAAAAACTGTAAATGAGATAAAACAGCGTTTATGACATCGGTCTAAAAAATTTCGTACAACCGTAAGATCGGACTCGGATGCCCTTCAGACTGAAAGCGCATAGCTAAAATTAGGCAAAACATTGGATGTAAAAAGATGATCAATCTCTGCCTGAGAGTAATGTTCCTTTCTCAATGTTCGTAGGACGTGTAAACACTTGTTTGCTTTGACAAGTTTAGTTCTTACATGCTCATCAAATTTTCCGTCACTCTGTAAAGTTACTCCTGGTAAAACGAAGCTATTACATTGGGGAATATTATTAATTGGAGAGTAGAGTACATTATGATTTTTCTTTCTAACAACCAGCTCTTTACATTTGCAAGGGTTGCAGACCATTCTATTGTCTTTACACCATGTTAAGAACTGTCCTACTAAGTCGGCAGACGGGTCACTATTCCCAGTGATAGGCGAGAGAATAGTGGAATCATCGGCATATTTAAAAAGCACTTTTAGGGCAACCATTAAAAAAAATCTCCAAATCATTCAAAAATATATTAAAAAGATACGGTCTGCTTACACTACCTTGTGTGGCTCCTCTATTAACAGATTTCCACTGCCCTCAAAATTTATAACTAACAACACGTTGTCTTGCATAGAGGAAACTATGATACCAATTGATAATGCACGGATTTAGAGGTAGCTGTTTCAGTTTGGCAGACAAAACAGCATGGTTCACAAAATCGAAAGCCTTACTCAGTGAAGTCCATCGTAAAAATTCGCACTGCGCTACAGTCACTACTATCTAAATACTTGTATGTCTGGTGCTGGATAGCGAGCAAGGCATTTGTGCAACTACCCGCCTGTCTGTATGCAAATTGGGTGTGGCTCAGGTTGTTCTCAATGACTGACTATGCTTGTGTACGATACACGACCTTCTCGAACAACCGCGCAATAACGGGAGTAACACTTTAATACCACGGTAGTCTGAGTACTCTATAGCCATGTTCACTTTGGGGAGAGGATTAACATTTGCCCTCTTCCAGGAGTCTGGCCATGTATGAGTAGACAGCGACAGATTCCAAACGGGAGTGACGATTGGTGTGAGTCAGGACAGTCTTTCCAGATCCAGCACGGGAGGTCGTTTGGTCCCGTTGCCGTTTTCTTTGCATGAACTAAGGTATTCCAAACACGCCGCTCAGATATTTTCGGGGGCTTTACACTGTCCGGGATATCCGTATCAATAGGTCTAACCGTAAGTGTCATCATAGCACAGGTTGGCGAAGTAGTCGTTCAGACTTACTAGAGAGTTCTTGTCCAAATCTATCAACTACATGAACAGACAGAAAACGCATGCGCTGTAAGTACCTCTCGTTATCCCATACAAAGCCTTAGAAAACTTAGTGTGGGACAACAGGAGGTACTTACAGTGCACGCATTTTCCGTCCTGTCATGACCTGCGACGCTGCGATAGGGCGTCCACGCCCTTCCACCACTCACCGCTCCCAATGACAGAAGGTTTTCTTATGTTCTCGGTTATCAGCTCAGAAGTGCGCTTATTAAATAAAGACAGACGTTCCTTGTTGTTTAAAGATATACGGGACTTAGTCCTCAGCATACACTTGGCAAATGGGGACATCCAAACTGGGTCACGCGATGACATGCGTACAGATTTTTGCGGCATCCACTTAATCATCACTGCAATAATCTTCCAAGACGCTGTCTGAAAAACATGTTTGTCGGTTGACTGTCCTTTCATTGAGGCAACAACGAAAGTCGTAAAACTTCTGAAGAGCAACGGGAGAATCTGAAGGACTTCGCACCTACCCTTCCCCAAACTTAACAACTGTCAACCGATAGGTATAGCAAGTTAGGGCTAATATTGTGGGTCAGGTTAGGGTTAGGTGCGCAGTTGCTCGGATACTAGTGACATCGATCCGAGAAAATTATCTTTCAAACCATTATCTCAGATGCTTTGGGAAAAAAAAAAAACTACGCTTTTCACTTCACTGATTTTAGATTTGCTTCACTGTCGACTATATAATAAAGGGGGGAAGTTTCTGAAGAGACTGTTGTAAGTTGGCCAACGTAAAGAATTTCAAAGCTGACGTTTCGAGCGTTAGCCCTTTTGTCAGAGCGAAGACGACATACGCACAGTGCGAAGGTACGACACACACACACACACACACACACACTCACACCCACAACTCACAGTGCCTATTTTAATCCGACAAAAGGATTATTCAAAATTAACCTTGACTGTTAACCGCCTGGTTTACCATCTGTTCATCAACTAGCAGTAAACAAGGGCGTTCCTTTGATTTTTTAAAAAAAAAACTGTTCAGACAGGTACGAATCCCCCGTATGCGAGTGTCTTTACGTGGGGTAGCCTTAACCATTGTTTTAAACTATATAACAACGGTCTCGTATTTACGGAGCAAAAAATTGCAAATGGAGTATATCTAGTGAAACAAACCACGCGGATCTTTCTATTTTTGACGTGTGCAATTTTCTTAGAGAAGAGTTGAAAGTTTTTTAGTTTATTGAGTGGCGGTTTGTTTAACGGTCGTTGTCGTTTACCGTGAGTTTACAGTTTTCCGTGGTGGTATAAACGTGTTTGTTTTGATTTTCCGTTTCGCTTCCGAACACTATCAATTGACATCTGAAACCAATGCTTTCACCATCGAGAGGCTGGATATCGCTGAAAATCGTGAACTCGTGGGCCATTTTCGGTTTTTGAACATTCTCGTCCCCAGAGCCTTCACTTTCTTAGAGAAGCGTAGTACTGAAGGGATTCGAATGTCATGTTTGAATCCTACTTCCGGAAAACGGCTGCCAGTTTTAGAAATCTCTCTTTCTCTTTTTTCCATTTTTTAATCATCCAGGAATTTCGTAAACTTCCTGAGTTGTTTAGTGGAGCGAAAAATTGTGACCTTGATATGTTATACAGACAGTAGAAATTTCTACAAGCGTCCAGAACAGTACGAAAGTTGATTCTTGTAGAATCATCCTCCTGCACTAGTCCTTGCTTAATTTAGATAATAGTGTAATTTGCCAGGAATAGTGTAATTGTGTAATTTTCCAAAAATTAGGTTGTCTCGGAAGGTTCTCGAATTTGTTTTGACACTATATAAATTGAGCAACTTTTGTTAGCTCAACAATTCAAAACCACCCGCCGTCTCGGTGCGTGTTTTTTTTACTACGAAGCAAGACCAGCGTGGACTTTATCATTCTGTGTTAGTACCTGAAGGGTGAGCTCATGACTGTTTCCTACGATTATTTTCAGATATTTATTGAATTCACTGAGAATAATTTATTGGAATCAGTTGACTGGTAATCTTTTACTTGAGGTACACCCATGCACATAATAAAATTGATATTTTTCATTTCAAATATTATCCAAAGCTCATGAGAAACTTATCTTGAAGTATTTTAAACTGAATGACGCGCACATTTTGGTCTTTGATTAATAATATTTCCTGTTTTTCGAAGAACTGCACGTAGAACGGAAAGATCTAGAATTTTCTAGAAAGATAGCGAGGAGCTGGGTATGAATATGACGTCATATTTCCTTTTATGGCATGTCATGGCCGATCAGTGACAACCGGCTTACTTTCAACGTGAACGGCCACGTGAATTTCGTCTTATTCAAGAGTATCGTGGTGCGCTTGGGTTAATTGAGCGAATTTTTCACTACCAAGGTCCTTACTCTCTGCAGAAGAAAAATGTCTGTTGTTGGGTTTGATGTGGGAAATGAGTCATGTTATATTGCCGTAGCCCGCGGAGGAGGCATCGAGACCATCGCGAACGAGTTCAGCGACAGATGCACACCGTAAGTACATAAATCAGCTTATAAATCATTGAAGAAATCTGAAGAATAGTCCCTTTTTCCTTTACGTACTTTTGTATCGAATTATTACTGGTTTGTATTCAAAGTATGCTTATAAACTGTAGTAATGATACGCTCCTTTTTCTTTAAAATGGCGTGAGGGTTAGTATGGTGTGAACGAAACTTAACCTTTGTACATGTACTTTTAAAACTTGCGAACTTCTTTCTACCCTACAGAAGTGTGGTCTCGCTCGGAGAGTCCTTGAGGAGTATTGGTGTCGAAGGGAAAAATCAGGTAAAGTTGTAATTTTTCTGTTTCGTTTGTGAATCAATTGGTCAAATTTAGTCGTAGCTCTTTTTCTTAGCAAAGAAATCGTAATATATTTTTAAACTCACAATACCATGTGAATTTTGCAGATGATATTCAACTTGAAAAATACTGTGAGCCAGTTCAAGCGGCTTATCGGTAGGAAATTCAGTGATCCTGTCGTCGAAGATGAAAAGAAAAGACTACCTTGCCAACTTGTGGAAAGACAGGGAGATTGCATCGGCGTGAAGGTAAGATTTTCAAGCTTCCAAAAATTTCTCTTTTTTATTTGAGATGTTCACTGGCTATCGTTTCGTAGTTTTCGTAGGATTATATTTTTCGTATTCTTTAAGAGGATTAACTTTTTCCACATGATAATGAGATGTTCAATCAATGTTTGAATTCGATATTTCACACGCAATACACATGTAATAGATTTCTTGTGGATTTAGCATAAATGAAGAATGTCGTAGACCTCGGTAAGATCATGCAGCAGTGGTAGCAATGCTTGGATTTGTTTCAAGTTGTGCCTGACAAAAAAAAAATTTCAGTATTGTGGCGAGAAATGTTTTCTGATAGATTGATTTGAGCTGTGACTTTTGAATATATGTTTAAATGACCCAAGAAAATATCAGTTTACCTGGTTGCACCATTCAAATGCACTGTTAGATAAATGCATCAATGTCGCATTCAGAAATGTTTTCACTTCAACTCTCAGACACTAATTTGCTCATCTTGAAGTTCCTTAGTAAGACAGAAAAAAACGTTTCTGAGGAAAACATTTCACTAGAAATGAAATTCTCAGAAAACGAGAGTTTCTGAATTGTTTTCTCTTGTTGCAGCTGCATTATCAGGGGAATGAGGAAGTATTTTCACCAGAACAGATTATGGCCATGCTCTTGACAAAGCTGAAGACCATTTCTGAGAAAGAACTGTCCACTAAAGTTACGGACTGTGTTGTTTCTGTAAGTGCTTAGAATATTGTTTCAAATTTTTTCCTATGTAGTACTAAGATGTAACTTTAATTTTTTCATCATGATACATTTGGGAACGAAGAAAATGAAATTGAAACCTAGAATGAAACTGAATTGTTACAAGGGTGTTAACTTGAGTATAATAAGTTGCTTGGTTTCATTCCCTCTGTAGGTGATTATGCAGAATTAACAAGTGTTGTATAAGCCACAATACTTGTTGCCATGTTGTGGGCCATGCTAAAATACCAAGAACTTACCGTATTTATCTGTGTATAAGTCAATCTTTTATGACCAAAAAATCAGCCGAAAGAATCACCCTTGACTTGTACATGGATCATATATAAAGACCTGACCCAAGTAATCCAAGAAATTAGCAAAACAATTGCCTGAAGTCTGTTAGGAAAACCAGTTCTAATCGTGTTCAAGTTTCATCAGTTTTCAGCGCGTTCCTCATTGACAAAAAAGTTTGAAATAATGGATTTTACGTGGCTTAAACAGAAACCTACTGGAGCCGATTTCAATTGTATCTTCTGATCTGTAGAGTAGACATTTTGCCTTACAGCTTTCCTGCTTTTCACTGTCCTGAATTCTTGTTTTCATGGAACAATTGCAGTAGCTTTGTGACCTGGCAAGTGCTGGCAAGTTTTCCAAGATGGTGGTGTTTTCATCAAGTGATCCTTTGAAGGTCTTTGGTGTTCCTTTGGTCCACTAAATCTTTCAAACTCAACATTGAGATAAAGGTTACTTAAATGCATGACAATTTCATTTTCAAAGTGATTTACAAAATATGGTAAATCAGTTCTCCAGTAAATCAAGGTGCTCGTATCTGCTTAAATCATGAATCATGGTGTTGTAAACAAGTGCCACTAAACTTCACAACACACGGTTACATTTTGCTCTGCAGTTTTTTTTTTAATTTGCCATGTTTTCAATTCATAAATAAGAGATCGACCATTTGGGAAATTTCTATCAGTCTGAATTTTTCTTTAATTAGAAATGATGAAAATTCCAATTTTTTTTTACCTTGAAAATGGGGGGATCGACTTATACACAGGTTCGACTTATACACAGATAAATATGGTAACAGACTACAAATTTTTTAATTTTTGTAGAGAAAGAAATCAAATAAATGGAAATCATACTAGAGGGCACAAACATGACATAAGGCTGAGCAGATTATTGTTAAGAACTGCAAATAGTTCAAGTGAAAATTCCATGACCTTGGTACTACCGCTGGCAGATGTCAACCCTTTAACAACCAGGAGTGATTAGGACAGAATTTCTCCGTACAATATCAAAATGAAATCAAGCAGACAAATAATGTGAAAGAAAAAAAAAAAGAAAAATATCCCTCAGTGGATTATTAGTTGATCCAATACCAAATCATCTGAAGTACATGATACATTGAAACAATTGTTTAGCAGACGTTATGGAGAATTGCTATTGAGATATTGGGAATGAAAGATTTAAGTGTCCAGGGGCCCGTTTCTGGAAAGTCCCAGTAACTTAATGGGCCCAAAGCCATATTTTATAATCAAAAGTTAATCAATCGAGAAGCAGGCTCTGACACCCTATCCAGTCCATTTCGTTTCTTTAGCTGCTAGTTTTATCAAATATTATTCAAAACTTTTGAAACCCCTTCATTGAATGAAAACAAAACAGCTTTACAGGCTTATTAAGATACAGGGACCTTCAAGAAATGGGCCCCAGGAACTTGTCCAGACAGTAGCAGTTATCCCTCTGTTGTTTAGACCATAAAGGGTACACAGATGGGGTTTTTATAAAGAAATTTGGCTAAAATTGGCAATTCAGGCTGCTATACACCAATACATGTATGTTGGCACAATTGCATTAAAGGATATCAAGTCAGTACCCTGTAGCAGAATTTCAAATGTTCAATTTTTGACAGGTTCCCTGCTATTATACAGACAGACAAAGGAGAGCAATGTTGGACTCAGTCTCCATGGCTGGACTGAACTGCCTCAGACTTATGAATGACACCACTGCAGGTAAATTTAAAAGAAGCAAAAGAAAAATTCTCCTTGTTGGTCTCCAAATGTTTCTTGTTATGTTTACTGTGAGAATTTATCAAATATCAGCTCGACTGATATTTACTTAATGCTAAATGTGGAGATATTGGGAAGTGAAATTTAGTCTTCATCACCAAACTCTGGTGACTTTTTAATCCTAAACCCATAAGAGTAGCCAGCTTCTGATCTCTCCTTTAAGCATTTGTGGGAAGCAGGGATGGTGCAGTGCAGATATTGCCTGCCTCCCACCACTGTGACCCAGGTTTGATTCCTGGACCTGGCATCATAGGTGGGTTGAGGTTGTTGTTGGTTCTGGTCCTTGTTCCCTGAGTATTTCTCCACATCCTCCAGTTTTCCTTCCTTTGCTTTTGCATTCGTTCCAATTCAATCTGGAGTCAAGTGCTTTTTAACATGAGCCACCAGCTTGGAAGATTGGGCAACCACTTTCTACATTATTGACCTTCAATATATTATTATTCATTTATTATAACCCTTGGTTCAAATTCTTAGGTCGTGAGAGAAAAGAAAATGATCACCAATTTCAGAATCTCCTGACTGTTAATCAAATTCTCCTTGTCATTGCCACATGAAATGTAAAGAGATCTGTATGGAGAATAACAGTACTGATCTTAGGGTCTAGAGGGGTTAACCCTTTTTTCCCTCAGGAAAGACAGAAATATTACCTTCTCTTTCCAATCGCTACAATTTTTGTTCCTTTTTATTCTCTTTTCCAGTTGCCTTGGCTTATGGTATCTACAAACAGGATCTACCGACTGATAAACCTAGAAATGTGGTGTTTGTTGATATGGGTCACTCCTCAGTTCAGGTTTCTGCCTGTGCATTCTTAAAAGGACAACTCAAGGTTTGTTGCATCTTGGCACAAAGGGTTTTGTATCTTACACCTCATTATGTGATGATGTCAACCTTTATTCCAGACTAATAATGTACAATACAACTTAATAGTTCTTTTGCGTGAAAAATGTACTGGTTTTTATCTGTTGTGATGAAAACTCTGATTTTTAAATTCCTACAGGTGCTTGCCACTGCTGCTGATCCAAATTTGGGGGGTAGAAATTTTGATGAACTTTTGAAAGATCACTTTGTGGAAGAGTTCAAGGTGATGGTGGTCTTTACCAAGTAATTTTAATTAATATGTTGTTGGTTGTACCTCCTGAGATCTTGTGTTTTGCTTAAACAATAATTATGGTATTCCTTCCGTAAAGCTTCTTATGTTCAACTAAAATTAAAACTATTACCTGATTGATTGTACCTGAGTGTGTTTATGGTGCATTCATGAGTAACCTAGAATTGATTGTGCAATTCTATGAGCTTTCAATATTCAAGAGTGAGGTTGTAAAAGGATCATAGGGAACAATATTCTCATTTTACAGACAAAGTACAGATTAGATGTCTCTACAAATGCCAAAGCTGGTATTCGTCTCCTGCGAGAATGTGAAAAGTTGAAGAAGCTGATGAGTGCTAACTCCCAAGAGATTCCCTTGAATATTGAGTGTCTAATGGATGATAAAGATGTTGCAGGAAGATTTAAGAGGTATGATTACTCTGAAATTTTCTTTGAATCATAAGAATGTAAGTTTTACATACATATAAACAATAAAGAATGCATTTGGCTCATTGTACAAGAATGCTGAAATGTTCAAAGGGGTAGTGCAACATTGCAGGCAAAGCAGGATGAATGGAAACAAAGAAAATAAAAATTGGGGTTAACAAGAAGAGTTTGGTAACTTTTCCCCATTCTGCTCCCCAGTCCCCTTCCTTTATTGGTCAGCTACATGCACTTAATACTAACTGAACACTGGGAACCAGCTATCTGTAGTATAGTAGGTTAGTGGTGCAAGAAAAAATTGATCTCTGCGATGTTCTTTGGGTTCATATTACAAATTTATGAATATCCAGGGTGTTTGAAATGCTGTTGCTCTTGAACTTTCATGTGTGTAGGTAGGACTTGTAGCACAATCATGGTACCCATTCGGGGCTGTTCAAATAAAAAGATCAAAATCTTGATCAGCAAATGGCGGATTGTCTCAAAACTTGCCCTTTTTTTGCTACAATGATTGTAGTTCAATAAAACATCACTATATTCTCACTTGAAATAATTCAGGAGTGGAAAAATATTGAAGATTACTGCAAATATACCCTTATTTTCGGTGTAATGTGTAACATCTCATTTGCATAAATATAGGAAGAAGGCTAAATTTTGTGCTTAAAACCATAACAATTTGAAACTTCCATTACATCCATTTATTGAGTAGGACCAAAGTACACTGTGTGCAAAGTGACAGCGTTCAATGTCCGTTTTTAAAACAACATGAATAACTTGAATTCTCGTTGCCGTTGTCTGCTTGTGTAACGCTGTAGATCCAACAGAGCTTTGCATCATACAAGTGCGGGTCTAGCAACTTGACCGCCGACCTAGAAATGAACTTGATTTGTGTGAGTAAGGTTCATAGACCTATTTATCCCCTTGTAAAGCTATTTCTTCAAAATAAGCAACAGCAAGGATGAAATTCGTGATTTCCCAATTCGGAAACGATGTTCTTGTCAATAAGTATCAACGAAAATTAAATACTACTTACCCAGTTAACAGTGCATATCTCAGCTTCCAGGTCACCTTGGCTGCCTAGACATTTCCACAACACAGTTCATGTAATCAAACACAAAATCCCCAAAGTTTCAAAGCCTTATGTACAATACAAACAAAGATATATGAAATAAACCAAATCAGAAACCTATATTCCCTCTCGCCTAGTGTTTATCAAAGTGTAACAATCAAATTTCAAACCCGCTCTGCACAGAAAACTGCACAGGACGAAGCTCTCAAACCCCTAATTTTCCATTCAAATCGAGGTGTAAACATCGAAGGCTCCTTTGTAACCTCTCCTGAATATGTGGGGTGTTTTGTGGACAATTCAGGGTCTAAAACACGTGCTGGATTGCTATGCCTACTTCAGTTCTTACTATCTACCCGATTTCACAATCTTGAACATAGCGGAAACAAAGGAGTTCTTCAAAGATGAATGGCAATAAGAAAAGCTCTTCAAGTGCTGAAAAGATGAAAAAGGAGAGAAAAAAAAGACAGAGAAAAAGAAAGAAGCTGACAGAAAGTATTACAATCGAAATCATGACAGAAAAAAAAGTGCATTTGTTCTTGCCGGAACTGTGCAACATGTGTGTGGAGAACTAAAGAGAAAAAGAAATAACATTTACAAAGTCCCTATGGATGTCAATGAAGAAAATATTGCCTCTTTGTAAATCCAGATAGTGTTGAAATATATTCATATGTTGCATTTTAATCGTTATAGCCAGTGAAATCAAGTGAAAGTGTCACTGCCATGCCCACAGAGGATTGTGGGTATTTGATAACTTCGCTTTAAAAATCTTACAAACATCGCAAAACTCACTAAAAATGCTGTTATGATGATAACTGGCTTTTAACTAGCAAACAATAACATTTTTGGCACACTTGCCACATTTTCATAAAAATGCCTTATGTTACACAAATGGGCACCATGATTGTGCTACAAGTCGTAGATAATTCAATAATTGTGATGTCATCCCTTTTTTTAGAACTGATTTTGAAGAAAAGATTTCCAGCTACTTACAGGGATTAGAAGTTACTCTGAAATCACTGATGGAAAAATCAGGTACTGGTAACATTGTTGTATGTATTCAGAATTTACTTGTTGGCTTTCTGTTTTTTTATTGTCTATGGTCTCCTACTGCAAAGAACTTATGTTTTCTAGAACTTCCTACAAAAGATTTGACATTTAATCACAAGTTTTTTGAGCTTTTTCAATTTTATGAGCACCAAATTTGGTCTAGTTTCGTTGATTGTAATGTAGTTAGGTCTTCTTAAAAATGGAAAGCAGTCAAGGTGCATGTGTTTTCATCACACCACCAGTGACCAAGTCAAGATAAAACCTGTAGTTGCAGAAATTATTGGACAATCCTGGAATCAGGCTGGCTGAACTTCAGCAGTTGTCAGCAACTTTTGGCTTACTAGTTAGGGTAGTTTGAAAATTTTGTATGGGCTTCTTTCTTCTGCAGTCCATAAATTTGGCTGACTTGAGTCAGCAAAATATACATGTAATTTACTTGGGAATCAGTACAGAAAATGGGATCTGTATAGTTAGCTGAAATTTTTGAGCACTGGAACAAAATAGGAAAATTTTAATGCAAGGCAGACAGGGTCAAATTCATGACCATGTTCAAAAATTTAATTGCAGGGCTCAAGATGGCTGATGTAGAGGCTATTGAGATTGTTGGTGGCAGCACACGTATTCCTGCTGTTAAAGATGTGATAAAAGCAATCTTTGATAAGGATGTCAGTACCACTCTGAATGCAGATGAGGCTGTGGCTCGCGGTTGTGCTCTGCAGTGTGCCATGTTATCACCAACCTTCAGAGTACGAGATTTTGTTGTCAATGATGTAACACCATATCCAGTTGTGCTAACCTGGAAGTCACAAAACACTGAGGATGAAGGGTAAGAAAATTGGTTGTTTACTTGTTGTGAATGCTGGTATTCTTTTGTTGGAAAAATCCCACCCATAGTTTTTTTATTTATTTATTTTTTTTAACATAATATTATAGCTTTTTCCATTTTTGTATTTTGCTGATTCAGAGTCAAGTTTTTGATAATGTGGTTCAAGAGCTAAAACGTCGCTTTGTCTCCAACAGTAAAAATGTTAATGATTGCTAAAATGTAACCAATGAAACTGAAACCCTTCAAAAGTTTTCCTCTTTGTATGATTTGCATTTTCATAAACTAACATATTCTTGGGGTCCTAGAAAACAGATTGTCTTATTTTTTCAAACATTTGGAAAACCAGCCTTAGTACTGGTAGTTTACAGGAGGAACTTGCCGGTACTGGTAACTGGTCTAAGTTCTTTAAAAAAGACTTAAGATACATATCTGAAATCTTAAGTAGTCTTAGTGCTGTGGATCTTGTCAGTGACAAGTAGTCTGTATTTAAAGTCTGTAGTGTATGGGGCAAGATACCATGGGCTATGAATCAATCAAAACACTAGAAATTTATGCATTATCATACAGCCAATTTTCAATCATTTCCAATACATGGTTCATGTTTTGTATGTGCATGTAGCCACTATTTCAATTGGGTGAGAAAAGAAAAAACAAAATAATGACAGAAGTTTAAACTGGGTTCGACATCTCCACTAGCCCGGTAGCCCAAGGCTAATAAAAATTTGATCCAGCTAGTGAAAAACCACGTTTAATAGTCCACTGGCTAGTAGAAAAATTGAAAGAACTTATATGAATAATTAGTTTACTTGAAGTTTACAGTTGATTAAAAAAAAAAAAAAAACAATAAAGTTCAAATTTTATTGATAATACCAAGAAAGACAGCAGAAGCCTTTCATCTAATTCATGGCGTCTTTTTTTGTCTTGCGTGTCAATCGTAAACATCGCTAGATCCTAGACTCTGTGCTTACCAATGTTGCGATGCCTTGCACATCACCTCGCACGATCGCCTCACACTTGAAGTGTTTGTACTGTTCTTTGTCATTTTTAAAGACCTTGCCAGTAAGTTCAGAGGAACGTTTGTGAGTTTGAAGTAGACCTTGAGGGAAATTGATCTGGGCTACCAAATTGTGTTTCGGGCTAGTAAATTTAGAAATCACTAGCCCAGTGGCTAGTGATGCAGGTAGCCAAGTGTCGAACCCTGTATAAATGTATTTTGATTGGTTCATTGGCCCATGGATAATTATGTAAATTCTGATTGGTTAGACTCCTGCTCCAAGAAACATGAACTCTTGGACATACATAAATCCTTCTAGGTTGTAAACTTCTGATAATGACAATGACTAATCATATGAAAGTCAACCAGTAGGAATATAAGTTAAGAACAATCAAACTGCACCTAGTGTGAAAAAAAAAATTTTGTAATTGGTTTAAAAAGTTGATTGAGCTAAACTAAGGCAGAGCCTGATTATTTTCAACACTTCACAGAAAATTGCTTGAAAGAGTGACTAGTATCTACTGTTTCCTTACAAGTGCACATAAATGTAAGGTCACAAGAATAGAGGAAGTGATCTAAATAAGCTTTTGACTGTTAAAGTGACAACTCCATATCTACATTTGTTGGAATCCTCTAAGAAAGTGATATGTGACTGCTTCTTTCTGAGTGTTTTGTCACATGTAGTAATGGTGGATCAGTGTCAGTATCCAACAACAGTCAACTGGCAACAAGTTAAGGTTACTGTTGTGTTAGGGGAGGGGTGGGTGCACAGCTGCTCTGGCACTGATAGTGATGCATAACAATAATAAATTCCTTAAGTGCAATTTGTGAAAATGGTTTTTGAGTTGATATTTTATTGCATTTTTATTGTGTAGGGAGATGGAGGTGTTTGCTCCTAACCATGCTTTCCCTTTCTCAAAGATGCTGACATTTTATCGAAAAGAACCATTCGATTTAGAAGCTAGCTACGCAAAAAATACAAAGCTACCACTAAAAGATGGTTTTATTGGTAAGTGTTGTTGACAAAGGAGCTTTAGCGGAGTGTCTAGGATTGGGTGTCCCAGTGAAAACTTTCTGGGTAATTATCAATTATATGCCAAGAGCCATGTGAATATTGTTCTTTTGTAAATATTTGATGTAACATGGAAGCCATTTTGATCACTGGTATCTAAATAAAGAACCAGTTTCCTTTAAAATTTGATAGGTTTACTTCATTCAGTGTGCAAATACCTCATATCTTTCTTTTAAAAGTGTCACTCCAAATTTTATGGCATCTTCCTTGGTGACAAGTGTCAAAGTGCGATGCAGCCATTTTGGAATTTGGCTCTCCTGCCATAATCACCTTGCACTAGGTTGTTATAGAGAGTGCAAAGTGATTTTTGGAAGATATGATGCAATTCTCAACCAGTCAGTGCACCACATCTCTATAATCAGCAGAGCAACTATACTAATAAAGGGTATTCTTCACTTCACAACTTGAGGCATTTTTTTGTACCCAAAGGTTCCTTTTGAGGTATAAACTTTTAACCCTCTGACCCCAATAGAGTGATCAGCATCTAATCTCTTCTCACAATATCATCCCTGAATCACACATTAAGGTCAGGAGAATGAAGGAAATGATCAACAACCAAAGAAGCTCTTGATTGTTCAACAGATTCTCCTCAGCAACACCTTCGAAATGTATAGAGAATAGTATGGAGAATATGCATACTGATGGAGGGTGTAAAGGGTTAAACAAAATGTTGTTCCAGCCCGGGGATGTTCAATATGAAGCAAAGGAAAAAATAAAAGTTTTAGTTCGGGGTCAATCACAAAGTAAGGCATTGCCATGGAAAAATGAGCGTTGTTCTAAGCATATTTCCTAATTTTAGGTCGGTTCTCGATCAAAGACGTTGTTCCCAATAAAGAGGGAGAATCATCGAAAATCAAAGTAAAAGTTCGTTTGGATATCCATGGTGTACTAAATGTTGTCAATGCAAGCTTGGTAGAAAAATTACCTCCAGCCACAGAGCCAGAAGCAGAGTCAATGGAAGTTGAGGGACAAGGAGAGAAGACCAAAGAAGGAACTGGGGAAGCTGCCGCACCCGAGGTACAGTAAGAATTCATCTGTCTGCGTTTTTTGCATCTCTGGGTGCTATGTAGGGTCCAAGACTGCTGTACGGGGAACTATTCTGTCTAGTTTTGAGTCATTGAACCACATGTCATCAAACCACATACAACACTAATGAATATTTTATCTGGCCTCAAGGCAAGTAGCCTGCAGTGGCTTAACTTTGGCGAGTAAGTGCTCATTGTTCTCTTAGCGAAATTACATTTGATTAGTAAAGCAGAGGAAGGCTGAGGGAGAAAGAAATTTGTATCAAGGGGCGAGTGAGAATCAAAAGGAAGGAGAGGGGAGGGGGTGGGACAGTCCATTTTTGGCCGTACAGTCATCTAGTACGTCACATCTCCATAGAATTCCTCTTCCCCCTTCCTTCGACCGGACAAAATGTTTGCCTCTCCAAGGATTTGACAGGTAAAGGTTATTTTTGACCGAACATTGTCCGTTTACGAGCTGTTCTCTTAAGCCCTGGGTGTAGAACTGTTCAGTGACGAATGACATGCATTGCTGTTAATCCTAATGGGAAGAATTTCATCATAGAATGCTCAAGGAACACAGGAATCTAATGAATCCAATGAATCCAGTGAATCACAAGATAAAGAAGCTACAATTGAGCCGATGGACACTGAGGTAGTTTATATTTAAAACGAATGCTAGTCCATTAATACTTGTAATGGTAATTGCGAGATCACGTCAATAGCTGTCTTTTACACGGAGAGAATCGCGGAAACAAATTCAAGAAACCATGCGCTTTATTCGTTTGTTTGTTATCAATATCGTTGTTGCTGTTGTTACTCAAACGTATCAGTGAGAAACTGCTTTCTTAATCCAGCACCAAATTCTGGTAACTGATTTACAAGGAAATATGTAGCAGCTGGAGATGAGAATTAGCTATCAGATTATGAAGAGTTAAATAGTGAAGAACGTCAGAACGGTCGGCACTAAATGAAAGTTGTTCTCTAGTTTTTACGCTAGTTTAACTTAATGATGCAGTTTGAAACTTTCAGCACAATGCAGTGTGATGAACACATTTGTGTTCTTATCTTTTACAGACATCAGAAACGAAAGATCCAAAAGATGGGGATTCCAGCAACAAAGAAGATGAAGGGAAAGATGCTAAAGACAGCAAAGGAAAAAAAGAGAACGGTGTTCCAGCAAAAAAGAAAAATCAAGTCAAAACAGTGGAACTCAGAGTGGAGACTGAAGTGCCTGGACTTACAAAGTCCCAACTACAGGATGCCATCGAAAAAGAGGTCAGCTACCAAGAGATGCTCTCTCTTTGTGGACTTAGCACTCCTCGCATAGAGCAGTATTTGTCGAGGTTTTCCTTTTTCATTTCGTGAAAAAGTACATTTATGTCCCCTTATAATCCAAAATCTTGTTGATATTTTGACTTGATACAGTTAGGGACACATGAAGGGATTGTTTTATGTTTCAGACGAGTTCTACACTATTTTTATATCTTGTCAGATCTTAAAACGTATATAAAGAAAACTGGAAAATGCGAATACAGCCAAACCTTTTTTAACGCCCAAGAACGGATTAGATATTCCCTTACTTATCTGTGGCTTACACGGAGAAATTGGCGTTTATTTTTATTTGAAGATGCGTTCGTTTCCTTTTTCAGTGCCAAATGGTACTGCAGGACAAGCTAGAGAAAGAAAAAGGATTTGCCAAGAATGCTGTGGAATCGTACGTGTATGACATGCGAGGAAAATTGTACGATCAACTCCAGAAATACATCACAGATGAGGTAACATACAATGGAGCGCTTCAGAACTTAAAAAAAGTGTATTGTGTCTCATTTAAATAGATCACAATGAAGAACTAGGAGAGAAACAAAGCAAACTCGTTCGACAGTCCATGACTGAATCAGTTTCAAGCTGTCGGCCCGGGTTTAATATAGCCCATCCCCGTTGATACAAAGTTATGCAGACTTGAATACTTCCAGATTGTCATTTCTCCGATGATTGTAGTTATTTCAATATTAGAGCCCTTTTCGATAGTGTGACGTAAGACCAAACTCTAAAGTAAATGTCATCACAAGGGCCGATGAGATGATATCAAAATACCTTTAGTGAAACCAACTTGACTGCCGAAAGCGCGGGAAAACGCGCGCAACCAAGTCGCCATTAAGTTGCATCGGATTGGTTAAGAGAGTAGCGCGAGTTTTCTGGACCAATCACAAAGCAAAGTCAAGTAAAAAGTAATCAGTCCTGGAATACTTTCGACCTTCAGTTGAAAGTCACTGTACAGCATGTATATGATATTTTCAGTGTTTACTTGTGGATATCTTTTTCGACCTGCTATGAAGATTTTCAACATTCTGGTGGCCATTTTTGAGAAGGATGTTTTTGAACGTCACAAACAATATATAAGCAGGCTAGTGAAAAAAAGAACGACAAAAACTGCTAAAAATGAACAGGTACTTGATAGTTCCTTATACTTTGCTTCGCAGGCAAGGGAGAAGTTCTCAGAGTTACTCTCGGTAACAGAAGACTGGCTTTATGAAGAAGGCGAAAACCAATCGAAGAAAGTTTACCATGACAAGCTTGCCGAGCTGAAGGTAAAACAGTAGTGAGCAGCTTCTGTTGCTTTACGAGAGGAAAGTTATCTTTCCCATGTTCACCCTTTTTTTTACGAGTTGACCCACAAAGAACGCCTTTTTAGTCGTAAGATCTCGGTAAACTCCCGCGCTTTTCCACTCCGTCGTTACCATCGCGCCGTTTGGCTAATTCGCCCCCCTTTTGCAAAGTGATCGCTTGGAGTAAGCTATAGTTGTTAGAATTTGATGTGAATCAAAGTTTACACTATATTTTCCTCTTTTCTGTTTATTGGTTTCCTCTAAAATGTTTGCTAAATTGTGGGTGCCATTTCATTTCTTCGTGGTCACTCTTGGAAATTAGAGAGTGAAATCAATCCCCTATAATTGTTATAATGCAAGTGTTCAACGCTTTGAACGAAAAGAACGTCACTGACATGGAGTGCAGTGTTTTCATCACAGAGTAAACCTTCAAAGATACTGACGACTGCTTTTTGTTTTTCAATATTTTGTACAGAAATTGGGAGACCCGGTAGAGAAGAGGTTATCCGAGGCTACCAAAAGACCCGCTGCGTTTGATGAGCTTGGAAAGAGTATCCAGCAAATCAGGAAAATTCTTGAGCTTTATGCACAGAAGGTAAAGTGATAAGCCAAACTTGCTACGTGAGGGGAAACCGTTAAACTGAACGCCCTGCCAACTGGTCCAAATTTATGATGTTTCAGCAATTGGAAAAAGTCGTCGATGCATGAATTTGAAAAGCGTCATCGACAAACTAGGCGACAAAGACATAGTGTAACCTAAACCACGGGTTGACGCAATCACTGGGCCTAAAGGCCCGTTTAAACGGCTTCAACATTTGAACAAAATTTGCTCAACGGATGTCGGGCAAATGTTAAACGCAAAATTAACAAATGGTAAACACCACAGCGTACACTATTGAGTTATGGATGCACGCGGGAGGTTGCTAAGCACGAAAGAAGCGTAAGAGTCGCTCGAGGCGATAGCCGAGAGCGACTCTAGCTTCTTGAGTGCTTAGCAAACCTCCCAAGTGCATCCATAACTCAATAGAGTACGCTGTGGTGTTTACCATTTGTTTTATAACATAACATTGATGCATTGTAGCTAAAGAGTTCCCTTTTATTTAACAAATCTTACGCGACCAGAAAAAAACAAGCGCGCGCGGAAAAATAGTCTTTGCATTTGCTCACGTCAGCAGCGTACACCCATGGGCAAATGGGGGACGCTAAATTGACCAATCAGAGCGCGCGCTTTACTTTGGTTATGTTATAAACAAAGTTGTGCGGAGGCCTTTTAAACGGGTTTAAAAGGAAAAGTTGAATCGATGTCGAATGAAAGTTTGAACCGATTTAAACATGATTAACACGCTTTCAACAAGCTTTCAACGTTTTCAACAATGTTGGACGACCTGTTAAAGCGCACCGAACATTTGGTTCAACGAAGTGTTGAATGCATGTTGAAGCAAATGTTGAAACGGTTTAAACGGTCCTTAAGCTTTTCTCTGTAAGAGGGTTGATTTGATTAAATAAGTTTCCTTCCTCTGTTAGCTTTCGGCCTTCTTGATACTGTTCACCAAAATAAATGTTCAGATAAAAGATTCAGCTAAATTGAGGATTGTTTAGGACGCGGTTTTGTTAAACTTTGTATAAATAATCAGACCATGGAGTTTCCTAAAAGTTTCGTCTTTCCTTCAACATACAGGATGAAAAATACGATCATATCGAAGCTGAAGAAATGAAAAAGGTTGAAGATGCTGTGGCAGATAAGGACAAATGGTTCCAGGAAAAGTGGAGTGCACAAAACAGTCTCGCCAGTCATCAAGATCCGGCTGTGTATGCCTCCGTTATACTCTCAGAAAAAAAGGTAAGGATCCCTTTATTTCCATCGTTTTTGAGCGTATAGTTCGGGGTTTTGCTTTCATTTTAAATTCGGTATTTTTCTAGGTAAGCTCGTGCGAAAGAAAAAACCCCGCAATGAAAACACATGCTACTGTAAGATGGTTGCTCTCTACGTCCTTGCCTGCAAAGCAGCATTTAATTTTGCAAAGCTTTGTAACGTTTGAGTCTAAAAATGTCGAATGTCTTCCAATTAGAATTACGAGGATTAGCGTTTACGCACTAACCCGGCACAAGGCTAACATTATTGTGTTGTGTGATTATTGTTCTCCCCGACTTGAACCGAAATTACTTTAAATAACGTGATCGTACGCGGAAATAAGAGTGTACCGGAAGAATTACTTTTGTTTTTCGTTTAAAGCCTTCGGTACATACACCTTAACGAAAAACTTGAAAATTGTCTTTGGCTTTGCGTATTTTTATCTGTAGCTGTTAGAAGACACATGCTACACGATTTTGAACAAACCGAAACCGAAACCCAAAGCCGAACCACCGCCTCCCCCAAAGGAAGAAGAGAAGAAAGAAGAGGGGACGGGAGAGTCGACAACGGAGGAGAAAATGGATCAAGAAGGAGAAATTGTGGAGAAACCTAGTGAAGATCAAGATCAGGAAGGTGGCGAGGAAACCAAACCTGACGCAGACATGGAGATTGATTAGCTATTTATGATTAACAATCAGGAGTAAAAAGTACAGAAGCAAGCACTGATGTTTTCATTACGGTGAAATTATTCTCTAATTTGTCAGTTGATTTGTTTTGATTGTGCCTCCTGCAATAATGGAGCGGTTTTTTTAAATTTTAAGTCATCGTAGACCACAAGCGATTCTTTGGTTAACGCGTAAAGCGTAAGGCGTATCCAGGGCGCATGTCAGTGAAGGATTACGAGGAGCGATAAGTAGGAAACAAGTAAGAAATGCAACAAGCAATTATTTTTTTGCTGGGTCCCTCACCGCGTGGCCCCGTGATCTTAATGAGTGGTAGTGTTCCTTTCTCTTGGTCAGTTGAAGGTCGAAGAGAAGCACTAGTAAATGCATTTTCATATTGTCTAATTTCGTTTTGCGTATTACACAATAATAGTTTAAAACAAACGAAGAGAAGACAGGAAGTTGGAAAAACTGGTTAAGTTTTAGGTACATTTCAGGGCTACAAGGAACAGTGCTTGTGGCTTTTGGAAAGAAAGACGTTATATTAAAAGAGAACATGTGCTTAAATTCAAGCATTTTTGTTTTCATTTTTGACCCTACATTAGTGCAAGATTAAATAACACTAGAATAGCGCAAAATCGCAAAAGTTATTCCTTCCAGCCAATTGAATCTCACACATTGCTTAATCATTTTTTAAAAGAACAGATCAAGCACAAGGAACACTCAATCGGTGATTTCTTTCCTTCACTTCGCATCGTCTCAAATTATGACATCTCAATAACTTGGGGGATAGCTCTATTCAAGGAAAAGAAGACTGGTCACGAGTAGTGAAGATTCGTTGCTAATACTTCTTGAACTTTTGCATGCGTAAATTGTAAATTTCATGCTCCTTCTGCAATGATTTGAGCCGAGGATACCAATAACTCAAGAACCTTGCAAAGGGACCTTGGGTGGAGGAACTGGTTCGTGTAGGGGACACTTTTTCTAGTCCCGATCTTGTTCCTTGAGTGGAGGCTCCAATACATTTATCACGGAATTTTGGACTTCCAACTGTGGGTGAAGCTCAGCCCTACCGCCCGGTTACTCATAACCATCGAAATGCTTACCTCACAAGCCGTGAAATATACGGCCTATTAAGTTGAAGAAACGTGGAAATTGTTAGCCTGCGAGCGCGCCCTCATTATTGACGCGCGTTTTCCCACCTTCGGGAAGATTTGCGACGAGTCGGGGAGGGGTATGTCGGAGGCCTGGTACTATTAATAATATCAGCGCTAGACCCCGTGCAGATATCTCGCCAACACTTACTCACCTTCGGCTTGTGATTTATAAGCCTTCCTCATGTTCTTCCAGAAGTTTCGCATGGCTTTATCAAGTTTAGAGTCCGGTAAAATGTGTTCTATTGCTTAAATTCTTAAGGCGTGCTTTCTCGCAGGCTACAGGATTCCCGTAGCTCTAGGTTAGTAAAAGTTTACAATGAAGTGATCGTTATTTTTTCTATTTCATTTATTTGTGCCTCAGTAAGTTGATATCAACTTATTACCTTTGTTACTTCAAAGAAGGTTCTTTTTTTTTTTTCGGAGGGTAACTTAAACAATGAGGAGACTCGCGGTAGCGGCATTTCAATGGACGTGATAACCCTTAGCAATCTAGAGACCTCGCTTAAACCTTCAGCGGAACTTGATGCAACTAAATTAAAAGAAGTGTTTCTGCTTACCGCGGCCAGCTTAAATTGGTGTGGATGGATAGTGGATTAGTCTCTTTTTTTTTTCATACAGTGTACCCAATTGTAATTTGTAATAGGTTAGCGAAATGGTAACACAGCTCAAGATAACGAATGACAGCTAGTGTCAATGCATTCTCGTTCCTGGAGTTTATTCATCTTCAGCTTTATCTTCGCCAATCAGTTATGATGTAACTAATTAAATCATTCGATCTTTTTTTATGTCCCAGTGAATCCCAGCCTTAAATAAACACAGGGCCCAATTACTAAAACTTGCCCTTCAGTGCTATAATCCGCTATTCAGAACCAGTAATGCATTTAAGTGTTTTGTTTTCTTTCCTCGATAAGAATTGCTCTGATTAAGTCGTTTGCACCCGGTCAAGGGCATTTGGGTAGAATTTCGTGAGACAAGAGGCAATATCAAATGTCGATTGTTCGTCATTCGTCAAGAACGTGCTCTAAAAATTAAAACGTCGCAGATCAGTTGAAGCGCTCACGTTTTAACATTCTGTTCATATCTGTCTACTCTGCATGTTAGAACCTTTCAATACCCATGTTGGTTTCTGATTAAGAGAGACAGCTGGAGAATTCGCCAGTTCGAAATTTCACTCAAGAGTGGGTACTGCTGAAAGGAACTAAACAAACGCCAGTTTTGATAAGGCTTGAGGTGAACAAGGCAAGTCAATTAAGGACGCGTGGATATGAACGGTACGGGTACATTGGAGATAAACACTACAAATGAGGCACCCTCGACTTTGAAACACCGAGAACTGCCCGACTTCATCTTAAACATTTACTTGACAAGAGGTATACTCGCTATACCCTTAGCGTTGATTACATCATTTTCGAATGGTCTTGTAATGTTTCTGTATCTGAAAGATCCAAAGAGATGTCTTCGTTCTTCCCCGAGTTGTGTTCTTGTTGCGAGCCTGGCTCTGGTGGATTTCATGGTGGGAGGCGTGCTGGAACCCATTGATGCCTACTACAGCCTTGCGATAGCCTTTAGGAAGCAGCACTCCATAAGAAGGAAAGACTTGCAGAGTGCTGCGGCTTATTTGCTCCTCAGCTCGATGCTTCTGCTGTTGCTGATAACGTTTGATCGATACACGGCGATATCTCGACCCATTCATTACCCCCACAGAATCACCAAGAAGAGAGTCGGTATCAGCGTGGTGATTGTATGGATCTACTGCGCCTTACTGATCTTTGGGATAAGACGGTGGGGCGAAAAGTTCAGAAATGAAATTTTTTGTGTTCATGTAGATGTAGTTGTGTTTGTTACAACAGTGCTTTTCTGTAACATTGTGTACTTGCTGCGCAAACAGACGAAAATCTTAAGAAGATTTAGCAGGTCTACGGATGACATCTTCGTCGTTCGAGCCTCAGAGCGCGAGCGTAAAATAACCATGACGCTCTTACACATGCTTGTGATATTCCTTGTTTGTACCATGCCCTGGTTTATCATGATGCAAATTTTTAACTATTGTAACATTTGCAAAAAGAATTGGTGGATCATGAAGTTGCTGTTTATTTTGTTCCAAGCTAATTGCGCCTTCAACCCATTCTTGTGTACGCTGCGGATGCCCCCTTACAAGATAAGTTTAAAGTTGAATCCACTGCAATTCAAATTGTTTCGTCTTTTCTTTGCGTCAGCTCGTCCTGCAAGGCAAGAATATCAGCTTCAAGGGAAAGACGCCATCTGCAACAACCGAGGGAGCAGAAAAAGCAGATTGGTTTCCAATTCAAGTTTTGTTCTACCGAAGGCATTTTAATTCAAAATAGGGACCGTTAAGCAGTAATGACGGCAACGCCGTAGAAAACGTGGATTAAAAAATGAATTTGTTGTTTTAGTAAGAATTTCGCGAATTGTTGAATGTGTTTACGGCCTCTTATAGTGCCACACCTCAGCTTCCGCATAAAGAAATGAGCAGGGTTGAGTTCCTAATGGTATTTTAGATAATTTTTCGTCGGGTATTTCGTTGACAGACTCCTTAAGCTCGCAAATTTTGGTGATTTCACGTGGTTAATTCCCGGTAGAGGACGGATAAGGAATGTGCAAAGTTTTAAAACGCACGTGCTGCGTATTTGATCCGCCATTTGCTTTTCCACGTCTTAATTGCAGTCGTCTATCAATTTATCAATTTATCAAGGCTAAAAGGAACCGTTTGGAAATCAAATGGATTTCTCTTTGTTTGAGTACTACAGACGAGTAGGCATTTGTACCCCTACGACCTGTTTCAAAGTAGCCATCTGCGCTAGACGTAGGACGTCCTCTCAAAGCTAGACAATGAACAATGCTGGAGATCTTAAAGATTGGTAGCTAAGAACAACGTACTTTTACAATGAACATTCGTCGTGTTTTAGGGAGCTTTATCGGTTTTTAATATCTTTTACTTTGTCAAAGGCAGCAAAGGAAAAATTATTTTGTAATTTTGTGAACTGAAGTGTTTAGTTGTGTAGGTGTAAAGAAGCTGAACAGGTTACATTCAGTTTGAGCCATTGGATGAGTTTATCAGTTACGTTTTCACTCCATCAGTGGAGTAAATGTACGGCTTTTCTCTTCACGATCCTGAAGAAAACGAGAGTACCGTTCATTAATTTGGTACAGTGCATGTGTTGAGTGTTAATCTGACATTATTATGTATATGAGGATTTTCAGTTTTGAAATGAAATAAAGTTCCGCAGGTGTTTACCCGTGCCGTGGTGTATTTGCCTATTTGGAAGGATTTTAATTTTAAGCAAAATACTTTTCGACCTCGCTCGTTTCATTTATCAGTTACTGATCTTTAGAGCAATTTTCCATTTATGACGATTTGACGTGAAGTCAAAGAAACATTTGCTAATGTCAGGCATCATATACGAACTCAGATCAAAGTTATTTTCATCAACGAAGCCCAATGCAAATGAATGCCGACGATCTTGCTCGAAAATTTGGTTTTCTCTCTTGAAATTCTGATTCGTTGGGAGATTGAATCTAAGGCAATCTGCCATCGTTAGATAGCTTGAAAAGCCTCATTGAGAGAAGGAAATCATGATGCCGGTTATCTCGCCAGTATTACTTTACATTTACTACAAGAAGGACGAACAGACTAGACGGCGGCACCAGTAATGTGACAACACTGCATTTCCTCATGTGTGCGACTTCTTATCTGAAGTTAACAGTGCCGATGCTACAAGATATGAATTTATATTGAGTTAAAAGTGAAGATTCATTCTTAATTTCATTCCGGCTGCACTTTGAGTTTGACTGCAACTGGGTAAAAAAACTCTTATTTTAAAAGTGTTGAAGTGTTTTTTCAATTCTAGCAAGCAATTAACGCCTTTTTTTTTGGCTGAGACCGGAGAGGCGCAACCTTTGTATAACTCATACCTTTTCGGATAATTATCAGCAATGCTTGATGTAATCATCGAACAATCTAAGGTCACGGTCGTTAATCGTTTTGTAAAGTGTGGATCATTGAACTTCATATGTTTTTAGTGTAAGTTTTCAACGAGCACAGTGGGTTTATATTTAACGAGAGCAACAGTTATTACCTAAAATCATTCTAAAATACAGGAAGAAAAGAGCGCGAGAAAAAAGATTATTTCTAATGACTCCAAATTTGGCGTCATTTCTAAACACCAATTCACAGGTTTTCGTGTGTTTCTGTGGAAACGGTTTCGACGTGATGCGATCATTTTCAACACATAGGGGTGTTAAATTGGCTCCCCAGCTAGCATACTTTTTGGCATAATTTGAGCAAACTGGCATAATTTCTGCTAAGTAGCTATGCTAGCATACGTATGATGCACGATCCACGCAGTAGAGAGCGCTATTTATGCAATAGCGAAAATCAGACCTGAAAAAATCAGGCCTGTACGGGATTCGAACCACTGACCTCTGCGATACTAGTGCAGCGCTCTACCAATTGAGCTAACAAGCCAACTGGGAGCAGGCCGTTAAGTTGATTCGTAATAAACCCGTGATGATAAATCAGATACAATGAATATATGAAGTTCATATATTTTGAACTGCGGTTATAGATACGTATGATGCACAATCCTTTCAGGTCTGATTTTCGCTATTGCATAAATAGCGCTCTCTACTGCGTGGATCGTGCATCATACGTATNTTATCATCTCTTGATGATAAATTTTGAGCTGATAAATTTTGCGAAGAATCGTCTCATAACCGCAGTTCACACATATGTTTCATATGTTTGTTGTTGTTTGATTTATCATCTCTCTTATTGTATTTAGCTGATATCGTCAGAACGTTAACAATTTTAACGAATTTGGGAAGCTTTGATCAATGCTGTTTAAATTTTGCAAAAACATCTTTCAGTGAGGTTTTTTGACGCTTTTTTCATTATTAATTTGAATTTCAACTCGTTTTCTCTCCTATTCAAATCAACAAAGAACACAAAATATCTAGTGATACATAATTATTCTGGAATTCAAATTCACTCTGCGCCCAAAGATTATGAATTATTTTCAAAGCTTTAGAGAGAAATTTCAGCTACACAACTGTTTTTTGGCATCTGAAATGATTTTTTTGGGAAAAAAAATTAAAATTGTATGCTTACTCTGTTCATAATTCTTGTAAATATTCTATTTCGCAAATTCTTAGTACAATGTGTTTAGTTCAAACCACTGCTTTGTGAGAGAAAAGTTAATTACTATAGGATACAATGAAATATATGAAGTTCATATATTTTGAACTGCGGTATTAGATATGTGTGATGCACGATCCTCGCATTTTGATAAACGGGTCACTAAAGTACATAATGGATTTGGTGTGAAAGTTATGCAAGAAGGCAGGTGAATGTTATGGTTTTTTGAAAAATAGCAATTTTGGTTTTTGACCTAACTTTAGCCCCAGGCCCCTTTCTGTCTAATCGCTCGAGAACAGAGTTACATTTATGAAGTAAAAGCTCCACTATAGCAGAGTCCATGGCCAGATTCATTTGGCAGCACAATCTACTGATGGAGTTTTATAGCACTTTCAAAATGCCACCTAGAAGGCTGAATTTTTGGTGCACCGGCTATAGACCACAAATGGGACCTCCCCGAAACTCCAGAACAAACAGTCAGAGAAGTGAGCCAAAGTAGCTTTTGAAATATCTTACCACACTTAACTTTTGTGCCAACTTTAAGCCAAATCGGTTGACCACCACTTTTGGCTCCTGGAACACTTCCAGACAGAGACACTTAAGGCTTTCTCTATAAGAGGGTTGATTTGATGAAATAAGTTTCCTTTCACTGTTAGTTTTCGGCCGTCTTGATACTGTTCACCGAAATAATGTTCAGATAAAAGATTCAGCTAAATTGAGGATTGTTTAGGACGCGGTTTTGTTAAACTTTGTATAAATAATCAGACCATGGAGTTTCCTAAAAGTTTCGTCTTTCCTTCAACATACAGGATGA